GCACGCCCACCCCCCCCCCCCCCCCTCCCAGGTGCCAGCTCTGCACTGAGCCCCCCTGCAGGAGCCGTGGCTGGCAGGGGGAACCACACTTGCCTTGCTTAGGAGCCGGTGGACCCCCGTCTCCTGGCCGTGCACACAACTCTGCCCAGCCCCAGCCAAGGCCTGTGGCTTCAGGAGCAGAACCCAGGCCATGGGGCAGACAGGGCCCCCTCCCCCTTCCACAGGGAGGGCACTGGGCACCTGCAGGGGGAGAGTCCTGCTTCAGGACATCACCAGCAAACACAGCCCTGCCCTGGGCTGTACCCTGCCCTGCTGGGGCCGTAGCATCCCTGGGCTCCCAGAGAAAAGCAGGACAGAGGGTCAGGAAAGCTCCACAGGCCCTACCGAAGTTGCCATCCATTTTGGTCAATGTCATGGTCATGGGGTTTTTAAAATGGTAAATTTCATAGAACCCCAGGGCCGGCAGAGACCTCAGGAATCCTCAAGTCCAGCCCCTGCCCACAGCAGGACCGACCCCGACTCAGTCGTCCCAGCCAGGGCTTGTCCAGCGGGACTTCAAAACTCCGGGGCTGGAGACTCCACCCCCTGCCCGGTTCATGATTTCGGAGTTTTACAGCGGCGGCGCTGGCGTGTCCTGACCCGCAGAGGACTCAGGGCGGCGCGGGACGGCTTGCAGTGCTGTGTCCATGCTTCTGCACAGCTGGCGGGTGCTGGGAGTCCAGCCGGAAGGCAGAGCTACCAGCAGCAGAGCAGAGGGGAGGGTGGACCAGCACGCTGTGTGGTGGCCTCTCTTTCTGCACAGCTGGCGGGTGCTGGGAGTCCAGCCGGAAGGCAGAGCTACCAGCAGCAGAGCAGAGGGGAGGGTGGACCAGCACGCTGTGTGGTGGCCTCTCTTTCTGCACAGCTGGCGGGTGCTGGGAGTCCAGCCGGAAGGCAGAGCTACCAGCAGCAGAGCAGAGGGGAGGGTGGACCAGCACGCTGTGTGGTGGCCTCTCTTTCTGCACAGCTGGCGGGTGCTGGGAGTCCAGCCGGAAGGCAGAGCTACCAGCAGCAGAGCAGAGGGGAGGGTGGACCAGCACGCTGTGTGGTGGCCTCTCTTTCTGCACAGCTGGCGGGTGCTGGGAGTCCAGCCGGAAGGCAGAGCTACCAGCAGCAGAGCAGAGGGGAGGGTGGACCAGCACGCTGTGTGGTGGCCTCTCTTTCTGCACAGCTGGCGGGTGCTGGGAGTCCAGCCGGAAGGCAGAGCTACCAGCAGCAGAGCAGAGGGGAGGGTGGACCAGCACGCTGTGTGGTGGCCTCTCTTTCTGCACAGCTGGCGGGTGCTGGGAGTCCAGCCGGAAGGCAGAGCTACCAGCAGCAGAGCAGAGGGGAGGGTGGACCAGCACGCTGTGTGGTGGCCTCTCTTTCTGCACAGCTGGCGGGTGCTGGGAGTCCAGCCGGAAGGCAGAGCTACCAGCAGCAGAGCAGAGGGGAGGGTGGACCAGCACGCTGTGTGGTGGCCTCTCTTTCTGCACAGCTGGCGGGTGCTGGGAGTCCAGCCGGAAGGCAGAGCTACCAGCAGCAGAGCAGAGGGGAGGGTGGACCAGCACGCTGTGTGGTGGCCTCTCTTTCTGCACAGCTGGCGGGTGCTGGGAGTCCAGCCGGAAGGCAGAGCTACCAGCAGCAGAGCAGAGGGGAGGGTGGACCAGCACGCTGTGTGGTGGCCTCTCTTTCTGCACAGCTGGCGGGTGCTGGGAGTCCAGCCGGAAGGCAGAGCTACCAGCAGCAGAGCAGAGGGGAGGGTGGACCAGCACGCTGTGTGGTGGCCTCTCTTTCTGCACTGCTGCCTGCAGAGCTGGGGCCTTAGCAGCGGCTCTCTGGTGCCCAGCTCCGCAGGCAGCAGCACAAGTCAGGGGCGCGTGGGGCGGTCTGGCTCCCCTCCTTCTGCACTGGGGGGGGCGGGGGGCCTGCCGGCTGCTGCTCCCAGGTGCCCAGCGCTGAAGGCAGCACAGACCTATGGGGGAGCAATCGGTGGCCCTTGTAAAATAACCTTGTCACCCCCTGCAAGGAAGGGTTAACAGCCACCAGCAAGGGGGGGGCGGCTCTGGTGGAAGGAGCTGCAGCATCACCCAGACACCCCCAGGCAGCTGGGCTGTTCTCTCCTCTCCTTCCCAGGGGGGAATGGCTGCATCCCATTGATCGACCCGTTTGGGAGTGAGAGCCAGGAGGTGCCCACGGCCCTGCAGCACCTCATCTGTGAGTCTCCCTGGGCCCCGGGGGACCAGTCTGGGGCTTGCTTGTAGCAGGGAGGGGAGCCCACTGTGCCCCTCTGCTCAGGACCCCTGCACTTGGGGGGGTCCCTGCATTGCTGGGGGAGGGGGCTCTGCCGGGGGCCCGCGCCTGCTGCAGGCTCATCTTTCCTGGCGGGCGCGGAGCAGGGCCGGGCCCACGTCCCCGCGGCCGCCTGAGGCCATGTTGCTGTGCCCTGCCAGGCATGCACCGGGCCTTCGTGGTCATGCTGCCCCTCAGCCTCATCCTGCTCGTGCTTGGCTGGATGTGCGGCGTGGTCAGCTCCTTGGCACAGAACTGCCAGCTGCTGCTCCTCACCGGCTGCTACCTGCTGCTGGGAGGGGAGGGCCTGTGGGCGGACGTGGCGTACGGGGCCCGGCTCTCCCTGGGCCCTGCTGCTGGGAGGGGAGGGCCTGTGGGCGGACGTGGCGTACGGGGCCCGGCTCTCCCTGGGCCCTGCTGCTGGGAGGGGAGGGCCTGTGGGCGGACGTGGCGTACGGGGCCCGGCTCTCCCTGGGCCCTGCTGCTGGGAGGGGAGGGCCTGTGGGCGGACGTGGCGTACGGGGCCCGGCTCTCCCTGGGCCCTGCTGCTGGGAGGGGAGGGCCTGTGGGCGGACGTGGCGTACGGGGCCCGGCTCTCCCTGGGCCCTGCTGCTGGGAGGGGAGGGCCTGTGGGCGGACGTGGCGTACGGGGCCCGGCTCTCCCTGGGCCCTGCTGCTGGGAGGGGAGGGCCTGTGGGCGGACGTGGCGTACGGGGCCCGGCTCTCCCTGGGCCCTGCTGCTGGGAGGGGAGGGCCTGTGGGCGGACGTGGCGTACGGGGCCCGGCTCTCCCTGGGCCCTGCTGCTGGGAGGGGAGGGCCTGTGGGCGGACGTGGCGTACGGGGCCCGGCTCTCCCTGGGCCCTGCTGCTGGGAGGGGAGGGCCTGTGGGCGGACGTGGCGTACGGGGCCCGGCTCTCCCTGGGCCCTGCTGCTGGGAGGGGAGGGCCTGTGGGCGGACGTGGCGTACGGGGCCCGGCTCTCCCTGGGCCCTGCTGCTGGGAGGGGAGGGCCTGTGGGCGGACGTGGCGTACGGGGCCCGGCTCTCCCTGGGCCCTGCTGCTGGGAGGGGAGGGCCTGTGGGCGGACGTGGCGTACGGGGCCCGGCTCTCCCTGGGCCCTGCTGCTGGGAGGGGAGGGCCTGTGGGCGGACGTGGCGTACGGGGCCCGGCTCTCCCTGGGCCCTGCTGCTGGGAGGGGAGGGCCTGTGGGCGGACGTGGCGTACGGGGCCCGGCTCTCCCTGGGCCCTGCTGCTGGGAGGGGAGGGCCTGTGGGCGGACGTGGCGTACGGGGCCCGGCTCTCCCTGGGCCCTGCTGCTGGGAGGGGAGGGCCTGTGGGCGGACGTGGCGTACGGGGCCCGGCTCTCCCTGGGCCCTGCTGCTGGGAGGGGAGGGCCTGTGGGCGGACGTGGCGTACGGGGCCCGGCTCTCCCTGGGCCCTGCTGCTGGGAGGGGAGGGCCTGTGGGCGGACGTGGCGTACGGGGCCCGGCTCTCCCTGGGCCCTGCTGCTGGGAGGGGAGGGCCTGTGGGCGGACGTGGCGTACGGGGCCCGGCTCTCCCTGGGCCCTGCTGCTGGGAGGGGAGGGCCTGTGGGCGGACGTGGCGTACGGGGCCCGGCTCTCCCTGGGCCCTGCTGCTGGGAGGGGAGGGCCTGTGGGCGGACGTGGCGTACGGGGCCCGGCTCTCCCTGGGCCCTGCTGCTGGGAGGGGAGGGCCTGTGGGCGGACGTGGCGTACGGGGCCCGGCTCTCCCTGGGCCCTGCTGCTGGGAGGGGAGGGCCTGTGGGCGGACGTGGCGTACGGGGCCCGGCTCTCCCTGGGCCCTGCTGCTGGGAGGGGAGGGCCTGTGGGCGGACGTGGCGTACGGGGCCCGGCTCTCCCTGGGCCCTGCTGCTGGGAGGGGAGGGCCTGTGGGCGGACGTGGCGTACGGGGCCCGGCTCTCCCTGGGCCCTGCTGCTGGGAGGTGAGTGCCTGTGGGTGGACGTGGCGTACGGGGCCCCAGCTCTCCCTGGGGCCCTGCTGCTGAGCCAGCCCTGGGATTCCAGGCCACCTCCCGCTGGGACACGCTATTCATGGGGTGTCACCAGCAGGGCCCAGTCACTGGCTCAGGCTAGGCCGACGGGGGTGGGCAGCACCCTGGACTTCCTGGTGGTTCGGGGCCCTTTCCTTCCAGCTGCTCAGGGTGTCGGGCTGGGGAGGGAAGTGCAGTGCGGGGCTCCCTGAGCCCAGAGCTACGGACCCCTCCCAGTACAGGCCACCAGGGACTGCCACTGACCCAGGGAAAGGGGTGCCAGCTGTTCCCAGCCCACGTGGGGCGAGGGAGGGGGCATGTTGCTGTTGTGGCCGTGCCCCCTTGGCGCTAGGCGCTGCACAAACGGGGCCAGTGCCCGGTGC